GGCCGCCCTCTTGCCCCGACAGAACACGGAGATAAAAACGCCACTCTGTCGTAAATTAGATGGTCTTGTGATGAATCTCAGCAAGGGTACCAACTCACATATACTACTCCTAACACCAATCTTAACCCTAAACCCGGGCCAAAACGTAACCCTAACATCAGGAATATGATCGCTGGAATTTAGCGCAGAGGCACCTGTATTACGGACGTCCATATTCCCTTCTCCTCCAGGGGGGGGGGGGAAGGAAAGCACATAAGTGACCCCTGCCGGGGTAGAGTTAGTGATGGGGTCAGTGTTAGGAGCGTTAGAATTAGGGTTATGGCTAGGGTTAAGTTCATGAGGGCTGAAGATAGTGTTAGAACGACTAAGGTAAATTTTAGGAAACAGGAGTAGGAACCCGTGTTTGACCAACTATCCCCTAAAGTAGGCTGGAAAATACCGTTTCATTAAGTAGAAAATCCGCAGACGTGTGTTACCACAACACGAGTGCAAGAAAGTATACTTTTTACGCATGCTTTGTATAAAATACAGTGAATTTGCTAACCCATAAAATGCGCCTAAATTTACGAAATATCTAGCACTCGGAAAGGGACCCAAATATATCGACCAACACTCCCAAACAATGATGAACAACTTTAACTAAAATTAAGAGAGAAAGAAAATATTAAAAGAAGTATTACGTTGTTTAGAAATAACAATTTTTTAAAAAACTAAGAAGACGAAAACGCAAAAAAAATCGAGTCAACTGAGTAAACATAAGCATGATAAGCACATACGTAAAGCCTCTCCATGCAGAAAACCGAGTGAATGAGGCAGCACAAGTAGAATGACGTCCGAAAATGGTCCTCTAGTGATTTATGTTCTGAAATATCCTCCAAGAACTAGTATAATATCAAGCATGGTGGTTAGCCAACAGTGCCCTCAAACGGGTCACGCTGTAGATGCGCTGTACCAACAGAGAGGGCGGGGGGTGGCCATATCGGATCCTGGCAGGCGTTATCGGAGTGCGCACCCATGACAAATGCCAACATGTCGGGGTGCGGTGGCAGAGCCAGTTGCAGGCAGAAATCGCGCACAGTAGTACCCCTGCGGTCCTGCCTACTGCTGTTGTCGGTTAAAATCCTGGCCATTTGCCGTGTGGACAAGGGAGTGCGGAGTGGGGCGCCAGGGTGCGGGCTCGACCGTACCATCAGCCTGCGTTCTCCCCCGTCTGCGGTCTTCTTGACTCTGTCTTGACACTGGGTCCAGGTGGGGGAGGAAGAGAGAGTGCGGTAGATGCTGCGCAAGCCTACTATCACAACAATAATTCACGCGCAAGTCCCCGTGCCTACTCACCTTGCTGTGGAGCGCACGGTGGACATCGTCAGATGCGACGGTCGAACTGCCGGTTAGGTTTGGGTATAGATTCGAAAAGTGTCTAACGAATGTTGCCCGTATTTTTTTGCGTTTTTACACTGAGATACGATTAACTAAGACAAAGAGGCTTTCGCTTGATTTTGTCAGTCGGGACGTGACAGAAAGAAAAGTTTCATATGATTACACGTTGAGAGGTTGGCCAGTGACTAATAAATTTGAATAGAAGTAGCACGTGCACTCGGAACCATACCACTTAATGTGTAACGAGAGGACTTTCCCTCCGTAAAACTTCTGTAATGTTTTTAGTCACAGTGGAATCCGTGGAGTTTCGGCGTGTCCTTGAAATGCGATGAACACTACGGTTTTCAGTGTTCCAAATCGACCGACGTTCTGTGATGTACTTATAAGGGCCTGAAAACCAGTAAAAAATGCATACTACTTAACTGGTAATTTTCGGGCAGGCGCACTACAAAGTCCGTACCCTGGCGTGGCTGGAATGTCCTTTCTATCCGAGATCACATTGCATAATTTCAGTTGCCGTTTTATCAGATACACCACCTACTGAATTTTATTCCTCAACTGGGAGGTCCGACTTATCACTGGGCCCCCCAGCATCCACCTTGTGGTTTCTGGCAGACTAGTTATGCAATTCCAGCTTTTTAATGTCCTCAGAAATCAAAGTGTTAACCTAGAAGTAAATCCGTCGGAATGAAGCCTCTTAGGCTCGGCCTGAAGGCTGATATGAATAGCTGAATCGAAATCCACCAGCTTCAGAGGAAACAAGTCAGGCGTAGACAGTACTTGCTACCGCAGTCAGCGTTTACCGGGTCCAGACGAGTATAACACTTTCACGATAGATAATATCACAAGATGCACTAGACGGGGTGCTTGTGTTGTGCGTTTTACTCCAATAGGTTTCGTAAAAAAGCTATAGCAGACGCTGGGGACGGGGAACCCCTGCTCAGACGTACAGTTGGAATCCAATGTTGTGCCTAAAACGGGCCTCTGAAGTCGTCGCACGATTAAGTCGTCAAGAACGTACGTTGCACACTGGCGAACATCCTCCAGGCTAACCCGCAGGCAGACGGTTAAATTGCAAAAGAGCAACTTTATACATGGCCTCGGGTGTGCCGACCGCCCTCGCGTACGTTGATTTGTCCTACTGAACAGAGGTGAGGAGTCGTGCCCCACGGTGTCCATCGTGTGCTCCACAGCAAGGTGAAGCAGGCGCGGTGACTTACGCTGCATCTACCGCACTCTCTCCTTCTCCCGCATCTAGGGCCAGTGTCAAAACATAGTCAAGATAACCGGAGATGAGGGGGGGGGGTGCAGGCGGCTGGCACGACCGGACCCGTAACCAGGCGTACCACCACACCTCCTGGTCCACAACAAACACTCGGCCAGGATTTTAACTAACAACAGCAGCAGCACCACAACGGTTCAGGAGGGCGAAAATGACCGGGCAGCCATGCTCACGACCTGCATAGGCAGCGGGAGCGCATCTAACGGTAGGGGACCAGGTGACAGAGAACTGCTAGCATATACCAGACTGCGAGGGCCACGGCTAGTCGGCCTTGACAAAGCAGATCTTTGGGTCAAGAAGGGTGACACGTGGCCCTGCATCGGTCTGGGCCATCACCCTTCAAAGACTGGGCAACCATACAGTCGTCGATTGTGAGGCACTGGCACACCAGTGAGGTAGACAGTAATACTTGCACGAAGCACAGATGTAACCATGCCCATTTAGCCAGTCGCAATCGTAAGGTTTTCTAGGAGTTTTGAGTGCAGACAGGGCCCCTAACGGCTGCTCGCGTAGCTTGTTCGGGGTTTTCCCCTCTGGCGCTTTGGTAGCGGTGGTTTACGGTCCTCGTGTCAAGGTGTCGTCATCGGCTTTTGCGGCATCCTACGAGGCAGGTGGTGTGCTAGACCATAGCCCTCCACACCCTGCTGGCACTGCCCCCCCTGGTTCACGGCTGCTTATGCGTCAGGTGCGAGAACCTGCTTATCTCGCATCTAGCTCTCGCCGAAGGTCATTCCATCGTACACCACCCATAGACGCACCGGGTAATCAGTAGCAACGCTCCCTACAGTTCCGGACAGATGACACGTCAGTCTACGACAACTTGCTGATCGTCCGCGCTCTAACGAAACAACCCAAAACAGATGACCCCGCTCGGTCGCCCGAATGATATGTCAAGAGGTTACTATGGGCTTTACGTCCAAGTTTTTCAATCTACTTTCTACCATAACAGCTAGATAGTGAAGACCACAATTCGGGTGCCAGGTCATGACTGCTGTGTAGGCCAAAATGTTCGCCTCTTAACCATATGAATAAGTTGGCAAGGTTTAGGTCTGCCGGGGTGCATTTAGCAAACAATCCTGTATATATATATGGTCGACGGAAGATTAATCAGTTGGCCTCGCTAGGTCACGCGCTTTGCCAAAGTAACTGCCGCTTTCCAGGACAAATCAAGTCGAATGCGGGTGGGGAATGACCTCCATACACATACATCCAACGCAGGTACCGACTGAAAGTCGACGCATTCCGCTGATTACTTTGGCATATTGCGGAATTATGAGGGACTCTAGCATCTCTAATGTAATTCCTGGAAAAATTGCAATTAACATCCAGCATCAGATCATTTCGTCCAAAAACCTTATGAACGGACAGGTTCAGCTGTTTACAAAAAATCATGCCCAGCGGGCTTTTGTCCCTATTCAATCGACGATTTCATACTTGGCTAGAGACCGCTAAGGCACGACTTTGACGAAAGTGGGAGATGGATAGAACGAAGTCTGCGAGATCTCTTCGGATTGCTGGACAAAATCGTCTGCCGAGTCTGGCACCTCGTCGAATAACCATCAAAGACGGTCGTGCATCACGCCACTGGTAGAAATCTCGACTACACGCCCCTCGTGTTGTACATTCTGTCTCACCTTGCCTCACCTCTAGTCGCCTTCACTACTCTCGATCCAGTCATCCCACGAAGAAGGCGTGAACAGTGTACATCTTGGCGCGCAAGTTACGAGGCCAAGACTCCAGACCTACCTACGGCTGGATGCCGCCGTGCAGGGGAAGGGCAGCAGACTGCCAACTTAGAAATGAAAATTTAGTAAATTGTCCGGATGACAGCTGCATCAAAAAGCAAATAGTGAAAGCGCATGTGAGCTCTCAGCAGAGAAGGAAAAACGCAGTAGAGGGGTATGAGGCGTATTTCTTGGGGCAGAAAGTCACACACGCGAAGACAAGCACGCAAGCACGCAGCCATCTAAGTGGTCACCACGTCTGGGAGATCGTACCAACAGTTGCAGCGCGCGGTGGCCAAGGACGGCTGGTGTGATGCAGGCTTGAACTGAGTGCTCGGGAGAACAGTAAGGGGGACTGTTAGTGCGCATAGAGGGCATCCACAGATCAAAAATACAACAGCCTGAGATTACAAAGTCAGGGTGCAATAGTGAGGTTCAGGGAGAGGGGGTATCTGCGCGCGAGCGTGTTTGTGTTGACACCGGGAGGTTTACATTCCTTCTGTTCGTTTTACCATGCTGCCGCAGTGGGAAATGAGCGGCCAGGGAAAGGGGGCTGCCGGTTGAAAGGTTGGATTCGCCGAGGAGCCTGGGGGGACTGGGCGGGAGAGTGAGACCTACTAGTCACCGGGGTGCTCGGGGCAGGTTTGCTTACGTTGAAACCACAAATCAATGCACCTGGAAAGGCAGACAGATCAGAAAGGGATGAGAATGATCCTCACCTGTATGCGTCAACCTGCGTGGACTGAAGTACTTCGAGGAATAGGAAAGGCGAAAAAGCTTAGTTCTATTAATATTTGCCATCTAGACCTTATGAGAAAACAGTTAGAACATATGTAATTGTCAGTCCTAATCTAGTTGTCTTCGATCAAGAAGTGCGTACAAACTAGCTTGAACGAATTCAAATTCAAGGAGTCAAAAAGCAGGTCGAAAACGAACGCGTTTTATCATCCCACAACTTGCCGAAAGGGCGTGCGGATCAGAAACACATGCAGGAAAAAAGCAAATTAGTTACAAACGGAGCACCTATACGCGGAAGAATATCTCTGGTCGGACACGGATGTATGTACTCCCTTTCCCGTCCACCTACAATAGGGGGCCTTTTAGGAGAGGAAATGTGGTGCTTTTAAAACATATAAAAAGGTAAACTCATATTTGTGCTGTCTGTCCAGTATGCTTTGTAAGAGGAAGAGGTGAGGTGCACATATCTCTGCCCTACCAGATTTCTGAGTACTTAATGTGGAGCAGTAGGAAAGATGAAGACTGTGTGTCCGAATTCAGTTACAAAATCAGTAAAAAGTCGGCCCGCTTTCGGCATAGTTCGTCGCTAAATCAAAAATCCAGAAGTCTGCGAATAGGTTGCAGCAAAGTAAATCACAGACAAAAAGGTCACCACTGGAGAAGTAGAGGTTGGTTGTCAAATTTGTCAAAATGTAAAAAGTGTACCGAGAGGAGACTTGCCATAGTGCTGGGCAGGATAAAAAAACAAAAGCAATGCAAAAGGAACAAACGTACTGGACAAAACCTTATTACTATGAACAAATGTTAGCAGCGTGACGTGTAGAGAATAACAGAACATTCGGAAAATGCAATACCCTCCTAGCTTCTCCCCGAACAGCACATACACGAAAGGATTGTGGAGACACTTATGAACTAACGATACACCACAAATTTAAATGCTACAAGGTGGACAGCGCACGATAATTTGTGTGCGTGTGTGAGAGGCAATGGGTATGTTTACATGCAGGCAGGCTGTGTTTAGCCAATTACTTGAAAACCAAGAGGGTAACGACTTGAGCAGTAAGTAAGCAAGAGTTTAAAGACCGGCATTAAAAAACGACAGTAAGGAAAGTGCAGGGGGTAACGCTATGATCGTGCGAAAAAGTAGCGCCTAAACGGGTGGCTGGAATAATGCGTATGGATCCAAACACCTAGGGGACATAAATAAACAGTAGCTTACCTTTTATGATAAATACAAAGGCAGGGAAGGCGGGCGATAGAGTCACCAACCTTGAGATCTTCTAAGCAGATAGCACACTCGCCTTTGTCGGTCTGGAGTTTATCCTCTGAAAAGGAGGGAAGGAGAACGCTGGGAGACGGGCTGAAATGGACACAGTTAATCAAAAGACGGCCCACTAGAGTACGTAACAGAGGACACACGGGTAACGCTGGGCAACCCACTGATCGGCGGAGCTCCTCGGAGCTGTGCCATGCGGAGGCAGACAACCGGCAAAACACGTGTCCGAGCTTTTAGCTGGCGCCAGTGCTGTCATTAAGGTAAATGTAACATGCATGACCTACTACATTAGCTACAAGTAGGTCGTTTTATGGCATTTAACACGGTAACGTGACGAGCAAGTGTCATTCGGCCATCCAATTCCTGGCCGACATCCGAAGAAGAACTGTGCGACCAGATCAAATCATGATGTCCTGTGACGTGGTTTCACTATTCATATTCATCCAACCGGATATAGCACGCGACGTTTAATAGAAACAGCTCGAGGAGAACTACGACGAAACGAGCAGACCTCTCAAAATCAACCATTTACTGCAACTCTTTGCTTTCTGCCAACAAAACTCTTTCACCTTCAATGGCAGAACATACAAGCAGATCAAAGGAACATCGATGCGTTCGCCAATATCCAGTGTGGTTGTGAAACTAATCTTACGGGAGCTGGAAAAAGTTGCCTTCGAACACTATGAACCTCCGTTTTGGCGTTGGTACGTAGAGGGCACGCTTGTTAGAATTCAAAGAAGCAGACTAGCAGACTTCCAAGACCTGCTTAACGAAATCTCCGAAATTCAGTTCACAAAGAAGAGTATGCCGAAAAGTTGCCTTTCCTTGACGTTATCGTCACGCGCACACCCAATGGCGAATTCAGCACCACGATGTACAGAAAGCAGACTAACACGACTCAGATTCTCAACTGTCATAGTAACCACCCAATGGCCCATAAACGCAGCAGTGTTGGGGCGATTTTCTAAACGATAAAAACGCATTGCAGTGAACCGGAGGGACGGGCACCAGAACTACGACATCTTCGGGAGCAACTGACAAGGAATGGATACCCAAACAGCTTCGTCAGCCGCTACCTCCGCACGTGCCCACGGCGAACAAACGGAGGAGAGCCGCCATATGTGCCCGAAGCAACGGGACATATCGCTGAAGAGCTCGGCGCAGATATCGCTCACCGTCCGACAGAGACCATGCGCAACAAAATCATGCAAATGAGGAGCGACTGGATGCAGAAGAACAATCGGGTGTCGACTATCAGATCCCATGCCAGGACTGCCCTCGCCACTACACAGGACAGGCCGGACGACGGCTTAGTTCGCGAATAACGGAGCATAAACGGGCAATCCGGAGGGGCGGCCCGCTGTCTCAGGTCGTTACTCACTCCCTGGAGGAAGGCCACGAATTTAAATTTGCGAGCACGCGGATAATAGCGCGGACCAGCAAAAAGACAGGGCGAGAACTGCTGGAGGCCTGGGTGTCCGACACCACCTCACAGACACAGACAAGTTGATATACCCCCTGCTATCACGCGCTCCGTTCCCGCGGCCAAGAGGCGAGACCCGATTCCCAGCCAAGGGTGCACGCAGTCACGCCGCCGTGAAACAGTGTGGACTTAGCTTTGTCGCAAACACCACCCCCTGCACTCCTACCCCCTACTACAAAAACTGCTTATCTGACACCGCATTTTCACATCTCTGAAGCTGGCCTCCTGTACGAGATCAAAAGCTCCGACTAATGTACTCTCCCAGTGGCCGCGCGTTCATCTTCTCTGAAACAAGAACCTGGGACTCGCTGGGACGGTGATTTACGCGTGCATTAGTTTACAGTGACATGCGCGGCAGTTACCGCAATCTCTCCTCCCTCACCCACCCAGGCCCGGTGTCAAGGCTGACTCAAGATGACCGGGAGCGGGATCGGCGTGGGCCTGCGTCTGACGTGCAACCGCACACCCTCATGTATGCATAGCCCAATAATGCATGGCGGACCCCGAGCTAGTTCCTGTGCTGGTCCAGCGTGGCCCGTTCTAGGGGGGGAGGACACTCGTATTAGACAACATGAGGGAGGAAGGACAGTCGCAGATTTTAAATGACGTCAAGGCGGTAAAATTATGACCTGTGAGGGCGAACGCATCAACGCCAACTGAGGAAACAATAAAATGCACAGTAATCCCTCGATATATCACGTTTCGCCTTTCGCGGATTTTATGCGCATGGACATTTAGTGACTTAATAGCCCTTGAGGCATCTATAAACACTGTTGATTTTGTACATTTTCATTCGTTGATGTAATTGTATTGGCCTGAGGAAGAATTACCGAAAACGTGCGTTCGAAAACTTGACTTTTCAATTTAAATATAAATCGAAGATCTTTCATTGGCTCGCGGATTTCTGCAGATAATGGATCGTTTTGTTTCTAGTACAAAGCCGATATGATCGCAGCTGTCAAAGCCGCGAGGGTGGCTCGCAAGTCTCAAATCTCGCGGAGTAACAATTCCAACAAGCAACTCCTTCCGTCATGTCTCTGATGCCAACAGAAGTTCCGCGCACGGATCAGTCTCACCGGACATCTCCTGACACAATGCAATAACACGGCAACTCTACCTCCAGCATCCACAATCACTAGTGAAAAAAACCCCCGATGCTCCGTCGTCCGACCACGACAAGAGAGCTTGACCGTCGTTTCCTACAATGTCCTTCCAAGTCCCATGGAAGTTGCCCTAACTGATCTACCTAGGTTATGCGACGGAAATGGGTCTTTGCACTTTGCCACGGAGTCCCCGTAGACAGGCAATCGGTTAGAGACAAGCCATCCATAATTGAGAAGTATCATCAAAAAGGATAGCGGAGACTAGGATAGTTTACCTACCGATGCCAGTCAGCCATGCATAGGCAGTGTCCTAAACAAATGACTTGGTGGACGACTCCTGCGTCAGGTTTTTCTCTCCCTTCCCTGGGGAGAAGTCAGAAACTTAGTTAAGGATTTTTTACTGGAAAATAAAACGTAACCCACAGAGCCCCTAAAGCGTAACCACGAAACTTTCACAGACAATCTGACCTCGTGTTGTGTGCAAACTGATGGCGACAGTTCGCGTCGGAGCAAAAACCCAGGATTACTTCCTAATAAACGGTCGCTCTGATGTGGCCCACGGAACATTTAAATTTGCTTGAAAACGGGACAGCAGGACAATCAGAATGTGAAAAAAGGCGTTAGGGGTGCGTGGTGGCAGGTCCTGTCTCAGTACCTGCACTTGATACAGCTTGGATCAGGCCTGATCAAGCCGGTCTCGATGATGTCGCGGATTGTGCCTCATCATACGGGACGATATGCGGCGGCGTATCAAGAGAACCCAACGCATTATCTCTTCCAGCGACGGAGGCCGAATACAGAAGGTCCAAGCACTACCGTCAAGTCTTGGCGAACTGTGTCAAGTCCGGTTTTCGGTCCACCTTCTCTCGACGCCTCCAGATGGGCAACGCTGCCGGATAGAAGGCAGCAGAACTGAGTTCATGAGGCGGACGACGAAGAGCGTGCCCAAATCCCCTCCAGTCGTCTTTCCTGGGTGGCCCCTCAGGTATACTCGCGATGTTGGCGCAGCGAGTGCGGACTCCAGCATTTGAGATGCGGTCGGCATACTTTATTCCGAGAATTATTCTCGAGCCCATCATGCACGCGCACAACCCAGGATTCACAATCGTATAGGCGGAGAGACAGGGCGGACGTCCGGTACGTGTGTATTTTTGCGGCGATGAAGATGTTCCACCGGCTGTATAGACACCTCCCGGGGATAGTGAAGAGTCTGCGAGCAGCATCGACTCAGGATAGATGTCTGCCCATTCAGCAGCAAATTCGCCCCAGGATGTATGAAACTATCTACTTCTTCAAGATGGCAAAGGCTGTGTTCTCCTGATCGGGGATTCATATCAAAAACGCTTTCGGCTTCCCGATGCTTATGGATAAACTGACCGATTTTTCGATTCTGTTCAACCGTGACACCACTGATTGAAAATTATCGAAGCTTGAGGTTAGCAGAGAGATACATTCGGCGTGGACAAGACCAGTCAGCGGACACCCAAGTACGAAAACTGTGCAGGGTACTTCCGCGAATCCAGCCAATGGCGTAGTTTAGTAGATGCTATTCCGCTGAAAAGACTGCAAAAAGTGGCACGATCCTATCATGCAGCAACCATGGTTGTGGCTGATTGGGTGGTTACTTTTGAAGCTCCGTAATCTCACAGTTAGCTGCCCTCCTGAATACTTTGGCTTCCGAACCACTGCGTGCGCATAAAAGGACACCAGGTGATTGTTCCCGCCTTCCCTCATCATGAATCCACATCAGGGAAGAAGAGCGCTTGACCGCCAACACCTGGTTTTGCTCGAGAACGACGTGTAATACGGAGGAGTCAACCGGTCAGCTAATCATCACCCCAATTACCATCATCAAGGATGAAATCTCCGCCAGACAGAACACGAACTAGCTCGAAAAAAAACAATATCATCCCAATTACGATGGTGTGGAGGCCACGAGTCTTGGTAGATATGGTAATGCGCGGCAAACACATCCATAAATACTGCATTCTTTGTTTTATATCTGGCTGCTGAAGCTAAATTCCCTTCTTTCCAACTCCTTCCTGAGATTGACTTTAAAAGGCTACTGGGAAAAGCAATAACAGTACGTAATAAAGTCGTCTCGGAGGAATACTGCAGCCTTACTTGACAAAGTACGACTGGCAGACGGAATTTCAGCTGTGACAGAAATCGCTTCTTCAAGATGACGCCATGAAAGGCCACTGTGCCTGGTGCTGCAAGCGTGCAGTTCGCGAAACCCGATTCCCTAGCACAGTGGCAAAACAAATAGAGGAATTCGGCTGAGGTAGACGTGGAAATAATGTTGACCTTGGTAGCATTTATGATGAAGGCACTTGATTGCTGAAACATGAGCTTCATCAGTCTGGCATTTCAGACTCATGCTCGAACCGATCATCAATCAGAGCGTGGGTGGAGTATGAGATGTGCAGTGCGTCTAGGATAAGGCAAGCCTGTAGATTGACGACAGTCATAGAGCCACCAATAGTGGAACCTTCTCACCGACGCACCTGAAAGTCCACACTGGCATGGGTGTTATCCGACAAGACTGATTTTTCTCGGAGCAAAGTAGCTTCGTCATCCGGTCAGCGAATAGTGCATTAGCCGAAGGGCAGTGGAGAGAGTTCGACATAACTGCCGTCTCAGTGCGCCTCCTTCTTGTAAGTCAACCACTGAGTTTTTTCTTTGTTTAAGGCTGAGGCGTCCCCCCCCCTTTACAGAGGGCAGAGGGGGGGGGCGGCCAAAAGTCCTTTCGGTAACAGTCGAGCAGACAACATGTAGAACATTCAATTTGCCGAGGCGCAGGACTTCAAGACAGACCAGCATACACGGTCAGTCGTAAGGCAGTGAATGGGGGGCAAAAGCATTCTGGGGATGCAGCGCGCGCCAAAACTTGCATGAAATATTGACGTCAATTTTTAGGTTGAACTTCAGACGTAAAGGCTGATTGGTTGAGCGTGCCCACATAATCGGCATAAGATATAATCCCCAACCGAGAATTTTACCAGTCACGAATGACGAAAAAAGTTCGAGCAGCGCAGACTTCCCGCGTTGTTTTACATCGCTTGTGTGAATTCCATCATATTTTCTAGCAATTATGTGCACCCTCTGTGCTTCTTCTGTTGGAACTTACGTCTACTTAAAGTGCTGAACTTAAAATAAGAATATAACGCCAGCATTTGTAAAGTGTGCATTTTTTCGACTCACAGGTACTCGTTTATGTAACCTATGTACGTGCAGGCTTCCTACTGACGTTCGGAAGGTATGCAGAGTGGGTCGTATCTACCGCAATAGTCTATGAGTGCCAAGAGGCCCCTTATTGAGGATATGAAAAATATGAAATAAGTAACATATAGGTGGAAAGCAAACAAGACACAAGCACCGCTTCAAAATATAGTGGAGTGACTATCTCTGAGATGTTAGCCAAAATTCTGAGATGTAGTTTCAATAAGAAAGGGTTACTTAAGTGGTGTTAAAATGTTGATTATCATGCAGGCTAATCCCACAACATTCCAGTCACTTCAGGATGCCGACTCTTCAGTGAATTTCCCTCCGGCCAGCTGCATAAACCACACTTGGTAAAAATAACCACCTAAGTAGTGTTAAAGTTTTCCCATCGACTTGCAACGGGCCCTATACATTCAAACATATCTCGCAGAAAACACGCACGCAGTATTTTTGCATAGACCAATTTCGTAGAGATTTACGTCCTCTTCGAACTTTGCATTCGAAGAAAGGGTGACATCCGGTTTTAAAAGTTTCCAATTATGGGTTTCGTAAGGTCGTGAGATGTCTAATCATACAGCATCGCATCAGAACATTTATTAAAGGTGTTTATGAAGCACACGACACAGTCCACACCCATTGCAGAATCTCATGGGCCCTATATGACGTCTTCCTAACATTGTAGATAAATATATGACTTCCCCTTCACGGAAAGTGTACAGCGCGACCTTCTGAAACCCTAGACGCTCGTACAGCTGTGTGCTCGGTTCAAAATGATTCGAGATCTAAAAAACTGTTTTAAAACCGAAAGATATCTTTTTTGAAACGTAATTCAGCAACGATTATGCAAACCCAAGTTTAAATTAGTAATACACACCTACTTATTTGATTTAGGCAGGCATGAGAGGCCATGTGTTTAACTGTGGTGAGGCGCTAAGAGTTAGGATTCAGGGTTTTGCGGTTAGGGCTAGCATTTAGAGTCAGAAATAGGATTTGGGCTGGCGCAAGGATTTTTCGGTAAGGGGTTAGCATTACAGGTTAAGGGAGTGGTTGAGTTTGAGGTCTTAGTTAGGTTTAAGATTAGTGTAGGGTCAAAAATTGGGGTTAGAGTGAAGTTTGCCTGCCACATACAGTCTTAACCAATCCAACATTCTTAAAAACAATAGCCTAGGATCGCCTGTTTTCCTTCTGTTTGCACGCCCATAATTTGCATCTTTAGGGACCGCCGTAGAGTAATAAAACAAACAGACGGCAGAGATGCGAGTTTTATCCGTGCTTTGCGCCGATTCCGTTGACTGTCGCGTCCATCTACCCTACTGATAAAACGAATGTTACCATCCCGTATTGCAAGAGTTACTGGGCTTTATATTCTCAGTAGACTCACATTCTCCATCTTCGTCCGTAATTCTTAACCAAGTGGGTACAAGATTATTCTCATGCATGTTTTCTACAAGATGTGTTTGAATTTATAAGGGCATCAAAAATAAACGGGAAAATTCAAACTACCTAAGCGGCAACTTTTGCCGAGTGCGGTTTAACGTAGGCGGCCAAAATGAAACCCATTCAAAGACCGGTATCTTGGCGTGACTGAAATACTGTGGGATTGTGCTGCATGATTATCAATGCTAACCCCCCACCCAAGTAATCCTTTCTAGTCGGAAACACACTCACGAATGTCGGTTAACCTTTCATGAGATAGCCCGTCTACTGCGTTCTGGTAGAAAGGAGTTTGCTTAGTATGACAGACTTACGGCTTTGCCTCAAGGCAGAGTGCAACCACGTGAGAATCATCGGCTTGGGACTATGCTTCGCTCGGAGCTCCTACACCAAGTAAAATTCCGAGCTCAAAGCCCTCGGAGGAATTTCAATCATTATTTTATGGACTTTGGAGCAGAGGATAGGCGTGTGAACTTCCACCAGGCAGTGGACGTCGCCTAGCGGTGTCGAATCGATGATTGCCAAAAACTCAACAGGCACAAGCACACAATGCGAAAACAACGCGTTGAGGGCAGGCAAGGGTGTGTAGAAGGGCAAGAGTGCTGACAGCGATCCGAAAAAAAGGAGGCGCGGTCACGTGACCAGCTGGCACTAGAGCGGTTTGCGCAACGAGATGAGCAATGCAGAGCTCAGACGGGCGAGAGAGAACGAGGGGGTGAGAACTGCCCCCCCCCTCTCTCTTATTCATGGGGTTCCTGCAAAAATTATATAAAAATGAGGTTGATAGTGACCCAACTGTGAAAAACTCGGCGCCTCGGTGGGATTCGAACCCACGCACTAAGGGGAGGGCTTTAGTACAGCCAAAGCTCTAACCACTTGAGCTACGAGGCCTCGCCGGACGACGCGAGTTTAATCACATTCAAAATCTGCCAAAACATCTATGAAAAATAAGCTGGCTATCACAAAGTGACACTCGCTAAAGAATTACTTCAACACTCCTCATAAACCTTTAAAACCACGAGTATAATGACACCGTGGTTGTTGAGACACGTGCCAGTAAAATTACAGTGAGGATCGGCTGCACAGGATATGTCTTATTCATTAAATTGTGGAAAACTCGGTGGCTTCGGTGGGATTTGAACCTACGACACAGCAAGGTAAAAGCTTGGGTACAACGAACACTCTGATCACCTGAGTTACGATAACCCATCGGGAGTTTGATCACATGTTGTGTCAAGTGACCCGCTCAGCCGAACGCGACGTATGGGATCCACCAAAACTGGTACAGTAAGTAGACTGCCCAAGCAGGCGAGCAAATTGATCCCAGTATGGTTAAACTGACGGCTTCCAGTGGAGCCTCGTAACTCGGGTGGTTAGAGTGTTGGCTGCCGTGCCTTTCCTATTGCGAGTTCGAATCTCGCCGAGTTTCCCACAATTGAATCATTAAAATCCGCCGACAGACACCTGCTAATATGTCTCATTCTCTTGTCTCCCATATACTGTGATCCAGTTGAAAGAATAAATCAGGACGCCTGATGAACAGCGAGGCCAATTCTTGACCAAAGCGGACCATGACACCCCCCCCCCCCTCCACCCTCCATTTCTACACCAAAACAAACCCGATTTCATCCAGACGGCTCTCAGCCTGACACCTCAACACCCGCCTTCTCCCGCACCCGTTTTGGAGACAAACATGTGCACAATGTGCCCCCTCGTGGCCGTGGCCAGACGATGAACCACAGTCACAACACAGAGTGCGCAACGGGATGCAAACACAATCCCTGCCTGCACGATTATGTCCAATGTGCGTGCAGTACAAACACGTCGAGGCAACACCACGGCGCTGAGCCAACTACCTTTTCTGGACTTGCTGTGTCAGCGGCCGTGCGCCTATGCACTTTGCCGGCTTGACGACATCGCTGCATCTGCTGGCGCAAGAAGCAAAGCACAGTCCGGATCGGTCCGTCGCCCGGGCGTGCGTGCTGTGCAGGCTTATGGTGGCTATCAACCGTCTAATGAACGCCACCAACAAGCGGAGCAAAAAAGTAGTAACTACGACGCAACGGCTATGGGTTGCAGCCAGTTCTCCTTCAGGTTGCAAACATCGGTGCTGGTAGTGGTGGCAGCAGCGGCGGCCATTGAAACCGCATACCCAACCTTGGCTACTCTCCCACTTCAGACACCAAACGGGAAACGATAAACACACACAGGTATCATACCAACTCCCCCCCCCCCCCTTTTTTTTTTATAAATGATAGGGGCGTTGGTAAAACCGGGCTATTAAAATGCTGCCTCTATAACCGTTTTTTTGCTCTTCGGACCTCATTACGACCTAAGAAGTGAATGACTGTACACAGAAGCAGCAGGTTCGGAGACTAATTGATGGATTTGCAACCAAGGTGGGCAGTGTGCAGAGAGCAGAGCCGGCTGGCAATGCTCAGAAAATGGCGAGAATGTCTCAATAGCACAAGCCGCCGAGTGGGCTGAAGGCGTATAACTAGCTGGTATCGTCGAGAAGCAAAGCCTCAACAGTGGGTCAGCAGTCAACGTCGAAAAACAATGGACCGGCTGGTTGAGCCTACGATGAAGCAAGCGCTCAGCTCGTGGGTAAATTTGCCGGTCCATTTCTCATAGGAACTCCGACTGGTCCTGGCCTAGTGATACTATGAGCAAAGTACAAAAATTCGTCAGACCAAAGTAAACGCGAATTGAACATGCTCATGGGGTTTTAGCAGAACTTGTGTGGGCAGGGTCACTGAAGAATGGCCTGAGAAGAAAAGTGCGGAGAGGAGTTTGAAGCGCCAAACTACCTTTCGCCCACAGCTGGCGCTAGTTAGTAGCACAGAAATCAGCCACGAGTCTAGTAATGAAGACCTGCGGTCCTGGGTTCTGATTAGATCGCGTAAAATGTCAACAACATATTATAAGCACAACGAAGGAGCCGAGTGCCAAAACTAAACGAGAACAGTAGATTGGTAGAGACAGCTACTGAACAGGGTGGTAAACGAATGTCAACGACCATCTCTGGATGGCACACCCGACGCTAACATCATCATCAGCTAATGGGGCGTGCACGTGTAGCGGTTTGCGCCTCGGGATCTGCAAGAACCTGGGGTAGGGGTGGGCGGTTGTGACCCATGGAAGGTTGATTTCAAGCTCTCTCCTCACATCTAGCATTTTCAATAGAAGAGTATAGTATAGGAAGTCCAACTGGGCACTTAGGTCAAGTGGCTGATCAGGAAGTCAGCAACTCACTCGCGCGTGTTGCAGAATGACGGCATGAACCGGTATCATAATCGAGGTACTTAACTTGCGTGTCAAAATATAACAGAGGACCTACTGGGAATCGGAGCAAGGTCAAACAAGGGAGAACGAGTGCAGAGAAGGCTGTCTGCGTACCTCCCGAACCCCAAATCCATAAAGTGTCGAGCCTTTAAAATGACCCCAACTTATTAAATGCATGAATCCCTGCCTACATGTGGCAAGGTGGAAGTGCACTAATGACGGCAGTTCAGAAGTGGATCCCACATCGTGTGCTACAGGGCAGTACTCCCCCCGCTCTCTGGCTAGGCAAAGCGCGTCCAACCGTGCTTGGAGGTTTACTCTCGACAAACTGTCTACTGTAGATGGGCTAAGTCATGAAATGTCAACCGAAATTCCGAAATGCGTTTTCGTTTCCAAAAGATTAATCAAGTAGGGTTGTAAAACTACTCACCATGCAGCATAATTCTATGATGAACCAGTTACCTCAGGGTGTTGGCTTTCGAATGAACTTATTTCCGACTGCATGCAAGAACTATCCTCTACAAAAAATGACTACTTAATAGGCATGCAGTTTCCTCCTTTATTTTCGATGCCCTTAAAAAATTCGATTATATCTCATAGAAAGCATGCATAAAATATTCATTCTTTTACTTATTCGGTAGAAAATCACGTCTTCTTCCAATCTTATTCCCGAAAGAAGGGTGTAGTTCGGTTTCAAAAAAAGTTTCCAATTGTGAGATTTTTTAATACCGCGAAATGGCCGTTCATAAAACTTCATGTATTCGCATTTACGAATGTGGCTTGTAAAGTTAACAATAGTGCTCAAATCCACTGCTTAATTTTATGAATCTCATATAGTCTCCTCTTAACACCGCAGAGAAATGCATGATTTTCCGTACACGGAAAATATACAGCTTGTAGTTTTGGAACCCTGAATGCAAGTGTAACAGCAGGTCGGGTTCAGAATTATTCGGGAATTAGTTTTTTAAAACCGAATTATACTCTCCTTTCGACTATAAAATCGGAAGAAGACGTGATTTCCTACCGAATAAGTAAAAGAATGAATATTTTTATGCATGCATAGTTCTTGCATACAGTTGAAAATAAGTCCATTCAAAAGCCGACACCCTGAGGTAACTGGATCATTATAGAATTATGCTACGTGATGGTTAGTTTTACAACCCTACTTAATTAATATTTTCATAACGAGAGCGCATTTCGAAATTTCGGTTGACATTTCATAAGTTAGTCCACCTACTGTAGGAGCGGAACATTATGCAGTGGGCGAAAATAAACTGTCACAGAAAAAACCCAGAGCTCAAAAAACGCGACTTGTTTGCGTTGATAGCAACAGTGTACAAAAAGGGAGGAAAACTGAGAGTGCACCCAATGTCGTGTGGCCCTTCGCCAATGAAACACATCCAGCGCGTATTTTTTGGCTATCAGGACGCCTTAAAAGTCGTGGCTTCGGCGGTTGCCAACCCGTGAGATATCACAGACAGAGTTGCATGACAGTGGTTTCTTTTCAGCGTGCCCTTGTGCCGATTCTGTCGGCTGCAGGACTCGAGGGCGTGAAGTGAGGCGCTTACCCTAAAACAGGCTACGCGGTAGATGCACTGGACCAACAAGGGGGCTGGAGTCCGGGAGGCGTTATGGGGAATGCGCACCCCATAAGCAATGCCAACATTCTGGGGGATTTGGGGGCAGGCCCATTTGAAGACTTACTCCGAGCCAATTGGAATCCGTGCCGTCGCACTCTCTCCTATTTTTTGGCGCCATAAAATCCTGGTCAGTGTCTGTTGTGGACCAGGGGGGTGTGGTGGTACGCCAAGGTGCGGGTTAAATCGTCGTGCCAGCCACCCGCGCTCCCTTCTGCCTTCGGTCTTTCTGACTTTGTCTGGGCCCAGACAGGGAAGGACGAGGAGAGAGTGCGGTAGATGCAGCGAAAGCCCACTATCACTATAAAAGAAGTCATGCGCAAGTCACCGTCCCTGTTCTCGTCCCACTGTGGAGCCCACGGTGGACATCGCCGGTCGCGACGGTTGAACTGTCGTGGCTCTTGCCGACTAGGGGCCCAACCGTGCTGTGGCATGCGAGAGATAACGAGGATGTTTGGTGTTTAGCCAACTCGAGTTGCTATTAACCCGCCATTGCGTTTGAGTTCGCTCCGTGCAGGGGGATAGAGAGAGAAAGAGAGAGAGAGAGAGAGAGAGAGTGGGAGATGGCGAGGTCGACCCTGCGGATAACATCTGACGTTGCAATTGGAGACAAGAAGGGCTGATAACTGGCACTACGTTAAGACGAGTCAAATTTTGTAAACTAGTCTGCCAAAACAGAATAGCATGGCAGAGGGGACTATTCACTGGGAAAAAATCCCTCCAAAGCTAATGGAAGAGCCGCGACAAAACATCCCAAACCACCCTCAATCGGTTAAGAGGAGTGTGAATGCAAGAATTCGGTTGGTATGCATCGGCCGGCACACATGAATGGCGTACAACTCGTCAACAAAACGGCTACTTTTAGCAGAACACAAAATCCCAAGCCGGGCTGCGAAGACGCCTGAGACGGTCGAACACACAGCCCGTTAGGCTGGGGAAAGTCGTGCGCGACATGCAGGGACTTATGATGCCACTTTCCTTCCGGCTGACAGCAATTACAAACGTTGGCGGCGTCTAGCTGTCAGTGGAGACAACTTAGCCCCAAACCATATCTTTTTCCTTCCCGAACCACGGGTCACCTGAAATATCTAACACCAACGGTGGCGGCGATGGATACACGTAGACTGAGACGCACAGGAAACCTTCTAGGCTGTTTTGACGACCAAATATCCACTGACAACGCCAGTTACACGGAGAAAGCAGAGGAGGAGATAATTGTGCCATAAATCGGCAAGTTTCCGGCTTCATTTGACTTTTAATAGCGGACGGTAAGCCTGGAACGTCAGGCACCAAATACTTTCATCGAACTTTGGATGACAGACATCAAGTAAGGAAACGTACCATTGTAGGTGACCCGCGGACGCGTGAGGCACATGACGTAGTGCAGATCGTATTCATCGTGCGGGACAATACGCTTGCAGAAGATGCAACGACGATCAGCGCCTAGGGATGGAGGAGGAACAGAAAAAAAATGATATCAGAGAGCGCTTCAGCGGCTTCTTGATGAGGGTCCAACAGTATGAATGAGCACACATTCCAAACAAGCACCAACAGACAAAAAATATACTTATTTATGTTATGTGTATACCAGGTCGTATAAACTGTTGACAGAGGTAAGAAGTGAACTACGGCGGTGAGGTAGCTGTAAGAGAAACGTAGCGAATAAAGCATACATAGCATAGAGACCGACCGAGCACCGGCGTTTATTTTTCTGAGCTCTCGAAAACGTGCAACAGTCAACCGTCCGAGATGACAATAGCAACGGAACAAGCGGCAGTTACAGGGGGTCACTGATCAGTGTCTCAAGTCTGGAGGTGACTGCGCAGGGTCCTGCATGCCGGTACCAGATCAATAATCGATTGAGCAAGTTCATCCCAGAGACCCAGGTTACAATTAGCACTCGGCTTCCAGCTTGAGTAATTATTTTGGCGACTGCGAATTTGAACGCGTGACCTGTTTTAAAGGTGTGGGCAACCCCTTGTGATGGCTTGTCACTCGATCGCACAGCCAACTTAAGCTCGCACATGCACGATTGGAGCATGTGATCGGTATGACCTGTATAAGTACAAGGACAATTAAAGCACGGGACAAGATGCCCTACACCAGGATACCTCCTCATGACAGCCAGAAGCAAGATTGTTGTCTGGGCCTCGGATGACAAAGTAGTCAGTCGATGTATTGGTCCGGCGCCGACACAGAGAGCCCCGGGCAGCCACCTCCAGATCTGAGGCATTGGTCGTTGATTGGCCACGGTCTCTATAGCTGTCATTTGTTTCGTTGTCACTGCCAGTTCTACCGATGGACTCCTGTTCGAAAACTCAGAAAAATGAATAAATGGTTCTGGTGATCGACCAGTCTCATCTTTCCTTACTCATACGACAGTTCGCCCGTCGTTGTCGTCGATGCCCACCGTGTGCTCCTTAGCAGGGTGACAGTAGGTACGGTTACTTGTGCATCAATTACTTTATAGTGCGGATAGACTTGCACAGCATCTACCGCACTCTCCCCTCCTCCCCCACCTGGACCCGGTGTCAAGACATAAACAAGAGGACTGGAGGCGGGAGAGGGCGCAGGTAGATGACCCGGCCGAGCTCACACCTCGGCGTACTAATACCCCCCCCCCCCTGGTTCCCAACAAACACTTGACCAGGATTTTAAGCAACAACAAAAACAGTCAGGAGAGGATGACACAGGCCACTGGGCAACCGTGTACACGGCTTGCATACCCAGCGGGAGCGCATGCGCAGCTACTGGCGGGAAATCAGATGCCAGCGCACACCAGGCTGCGAGGGCCATGGTTTGCATTTAGCCCGGCCCATCAAAGGCCCGGTAACCAGTCGGTCATCAACTGAGAGGCGCTGAGAATTCGATTGGCGTTGCCGACGGCATTCACCATGGGCTCCACAACAGGGCGAATTTGCACACCAATGACAAGGAGAGAGAGAGAGAGAAAGGACAAGTTAGTCAGCCTGGCATGCACTTTTGTTGCTCAGCCTGTGCAGCGGCTAAAAGTGCACGCTTTGACAACCAACAAGAGGAGTTTAGAGGGGGGGGGGGAGGGGGTTTGAAATCGCGCTGCCGGTCTCTCACGCCAGTCAGAAACACCCCCTGAAGGCAGCAAAGGGAAGTAAAAGGACGAAATCACGAGTAGGTGAGAAGATACGCATCTCAGTAGCATGCCATCTTAATCGGATGGCACATTACTAGGGAGAGAGAGTCCAGAGTCCGAAATAAGCGTTTATGACTCTGACCTGTTAAAACTTTCGCCAACTCATTATTAGAGCACTAAAGTCTTTTTGTCGATACTGGACTCTTCTATGGCCAAAGAACAAAATGAGAGGGGCGGACCTCCGGAACCGTAAGCTCGCCTTCCTGACATTTCGACAGCAAAAAGCCTCCATAGACAGAAGGTAAAAAGGCTCAGGTAAAACTACACAGCTCTGTGTGGAATCACGACAGGTGTATCAGAAAGCCAATGGTAGAAAAACTAGGAAGGCACCACCAGTAGTAGCCTGCTTACAGGTAGGCGGACTATGGAATGCATACGTGGCGTGGAGGAACGGGAGGGGGGGGGCGGATGGCGAGCTGCTTTGATGGGAGGGAATGCGCAGAAAACAGTATTATTAAAATTCGATGTAAAGACGAGGTTACCTTGGAGGGGTGGGGGGGGGCAGGTTTTTACGACGGCTTGGAAGCGACCAGACTTAAGAGGGGAATACGTGAATAAAGGCAAATAAAATAAGAGAAAGGGTAATATGTGGTCATGTGGCCCCACCTGATAGACACAGTACTGTTGGAATTGGCGTTAGGGTTAGAGCGACTATTTCTCAACCACGCAAAGTACAACCGCGCATTCCCAATAGGTTTTCTTTTGCACACAACTACTTGACCTCGTCGTCTGTGCGTTTTCCGGTCCCACCTGTAAAAACTCTCTATTACCACCGGTCCCGTATTACAGGCGGCTGGAGTTTGCTTACTTCGGGTGGGGCTATATAACCACATCTGACCAGAGAAAGTAACTTAAACAAAGCAGATGCAGCACAGAGGTGGTCCGGGAAGTGATATTAAATGAATGCGACGACCCTTTCTTGCAGGGGTGATTAGCACCTAGCGGTTAGAAGGTCAAGGATTCGAGACGACAGGAACGACCAGGGAGATAGGCGAAGATTAAGAACAGGGAGAATGACATTACTTACAAAGACACGGCAGACTGGCTTATTGGCCGTCACCAGCCCCCGAGGTATGCAACCCCCAAGGCTCGAGCTCGCGACCTAACCATCAAACCACTGTCATTCTGCCTATATTGCGAGCCGCGGTGCGGCTGCTAGCGAGGTCTGAGAGAGCCCAAGGCATAACGGGACGAGTGAGTTCCGTAACGGTTAGCGTCTCCGCTACCACTATTAAGGACAGTTGTTGGGAAAACTATGAAAAGTCTAGAGCCTTACAAATGAAACCAATGCCGAGCGGCATACGCCTGGTGGGTGGGGATCACAGGGGAAATCAAAGGCCTCTACAACTTCCAAGAAGTGCTAAACTGGGCCGTTTGTGTAGAAAAAGGACTTTACCGGGTGACGCCCTTATGCGATGAAAGGGGGGAAAGGTAAGCAACGTAGACAAGAGGCGGGAAACAGCTTAGAACGGCAGAAAAGAAAGCCAAGTCTCCGGATGGGACTTCAGAGCAGTATGAATGTAGAAATCCCAAACGAACGACTCAACCAATGCAATGCGTCCACGGGGATTTGAGGAACAGGCAGTTAGATTTGATCAGCTAAATTAATGACCAGTATATAACATATTATATTGTCTGAGGCGAGCCCTAATGTGACTTTTGCATAATAGGACCTTCAAGAAATGTCTCGTGAAACAGCTTTGTCCCAGTTGACAAGGGCGCGTCAGATTGTTTGGCAAACTGCTGAGTAAATCAGCAATCCTCAACAGGAGGTTTATTAGTGATGAGGCTGTCTAGCATGGGCTCGAGAAGGTACCGAACAATTGCACCTCAGCTGCTTCGTGGAAAATTCCGCGACTACGGCTTATTTAACAACGTAGAACTTAGATTTCACTGAGGAACACCAGCGTTCGAGTTCTAGTCAAATATACGGGTAAGAAGGGGGAGACTGATAGAGCCCAGGGACCATTTGTTTAATATTCCGAGCTTTTGAACACGTGCAGGGGTCCAGTCTCAGAGACGACAGCAACAACAACACACAACAGTTACAGGGGTCGCCAGCCAATAAACGATCAGTGTCACAGGTTTGGAGGTGACTGCTCATGCCAACGCCAGATCAATGACTGGATGACTAAGTTCTCATCCGAGACCCAGGTTTCAACTAACTCACGGCTTTTCTTGCTTCCAGCATGAGCAATTATCTCGGCGACTGCGAAGTGAAACTCGTGACTCGTCTCGATAATTCGCCACCCCGTCGCACGCTCAGCTGGTGCTCGTGTATACACGACTCGTGCATTCGTTCGGTCCGACCTGTGTGATTACCAGGACAGTTTAGGCACGAGATACTACACACTACATGTGACTGTACCCTGAGGTTTAGTCGATCCTCAGTGTTCATGATTTTGCTGCGCACAGTAGCTTTGAGCCGGTATACAACTACAACACCTAGTTCCACGACAACGCGCCCGGTCGCCATCGCCTCGACGGTGCTTCCATCTGGATCCTCGGGGAGCGAAAACGTAGCTATCGGTTTACAAAGGTCTTCGCACAGCAGGCCACGCATGCTTCTTCTCCTAGGTTGCTGTAGTGAGTCCGAATCCTTTTACAGGGGCGTTCTCACAAAAGTTTCGTTTGTGAGTCAGCGGATCGTTGCTGTGGAAACGGACAAATTGTGTGGTGTTTTTTTGGCCTTCCTGTAGGACCTTCGTCTCCACTTCACTGTTGGGACTTTGCCTGAAAAACACCCCAAGGAAGAGCAGCCGCCGTCCCTTTTATTCTTCCCTCATGAATTGTATATTTGAGGAAGTAATGTTGATCAGGTTATGGAAATCCTGCAGCATGGCCTTGACGACAGTAGACGTGCATCGTCGACGCAACAGTAGCAAAAGATCGGCTCATGTTGGATGAAGACAGTCTGCTTAACTTATGTAGGATCAGTTCTGTCACTGAACCAGATATGGGGAGGGGGAGAGGGTGGGAGGGCGGTCGGAGATCTTTCTATCTGTTCAAAGGTTATTCCAGCAAAGGTAAGTACTTCTAGATAAAATTCGAGCAACGTCATGAGCTGCTTGACTTTGAGCGGCCTCTGAGTTTCGTCAAATGCCTTTTCAAGTTTCCTGTCCAGGGCTTCGTGGAGGGGAAATGTTGCGAAAGTCAGTCTAACATTGTCGGCAGCTCTGTGGGGCTGCTTCTTATGCAAAATACCCCTCACCAGCAAGGTCAGACTCTTGATGAACATACAGGGAGAACAATCCCACAGAATGAAATTGGTTTCTCACGCGAGTCCGGAAGGAATCTCCAATAAACTCACATTGAGCAGATCTGAAGTCGACAGGTGAGATGTCGAGCAGCCGGTGTTTTGAGCTTGACTGGAAGGGAAGTTTTTTTTACTACGTGAGTTGCCTGCTCTGCACTGCCTGCCCCGAGACATACTTCACGCAGCACAAAGTTCTGACTGGCAAAGCACGTTCAGTCCGAAGTCGCGCACGACGATAAACCAGGGGGGGGGTTCAGGTAAATGGGAGAGAAAACGTCCCAGTAAATCAAGTTTCCGTATAGTAATTCAAGACGCAAGCTCCGCTGAACATCCGTTTCGCCGTGCGTAATCATTAGTGAACAGGAGATCATGAACACTGGTCAGGGAGGCCCGCGTGGACGCCAGGATACGATGGATGTTACGCAAGTATCAGTCAGTTCGATAGAAAGTATTTATTCCTGGCCGGTCCTCACGGTAGGCATCCATCAGCATGGCGAACTGAAGGGGATTAGAGCAAGTACGCAGCGCTGCTGCTTTACGACACGTATCACCGCGAATGCTTCCGAGACTGGCCAACTGTCCGTGACACAAGTCATTACTTCGTCCTGGAGTTGTCGCACCATCCGCGCAAAAAGCTCCGGACATGCGATTCTCAGCATAATTTGCCGGAGCCCACTGCATCAAAGGCCTTTATAAACTTCACGAAGGTACTGCAGAGTCTGGTCCGCATTTCTTGGTGCTCCTCTGTTTTAGCGGACAGGCAGCGACGACCATGGGTCAACCAGACTAGGACATGAAGGGCACACTCGCAGTAGGTGGCTTACAACGCGTCCTGCGCACAAGAAGTCGGCGCACACCTTCACATACCTGATAGTGGTCTTCTGGTAGAATTTCCATTGGATATGTGCATAGAGGTGTCTGGCAGATGAGTGAAAAACGCCAGAAACTAGCGAACTCACTATGTCATAGGCAGTCGGTGGTTAAACGAACTATGACCAGACTGTGCCGATTCATTAAAAGGGGACATTTCATCTCTCTGAAACTCGAGCCTATATGACACGCGTAGATGTCATGTCACACCAGTCACCGAGATCAGCTACACATCGAGTCGGCTTGACTCAGACAAGTCACTGGCACATGGCGGAAGGATGAGAAGGCGAGTTCGGTGAGGTGTTTAGCTCACCATATGGGACTGGACAAGTTGCAAAATTATTACGACAGGTTAAGGGCCGCGACTTGGAAGGTGGCCAATGGACGAGTTAACTCGATCCTACTATTAAGTGAGAATCAGGCTGCAATGGATCTTAGCATGACCCTTATGACGCTCGGAATTATGTGAGATCTGGGTCCCGCCCAACGAAGTCGGGCATATGCGGAGTTAAAGATCAGGACAACGAGCTCGTGACTCAATGTCAGGGCGTTGAACTGCTTAACGTTCAATGTCCAGTGGGCCCACGTTCGAAACTCAGGTCATCCTGAACACGAGTTGGGTACGACTGGCTGACGACGACTAAGGTAGAAATGGCCATTTTAGTCTCCCTCATCTTCTTCGGTAATCTCCTTCTGTATGCATATATGTAGGAGGAATAATATTACTGGCAAAGACAAGGGAGACTGACATGATTATTTTTGGCCTGTTAATCGTCGTTAGCCAGTCATACCCAACCTCGAGCTGGGGAAAACCCGGGGCCCGAACTCGAGACCTGTTATTTAGAATCCGACGTCCTAACCACTGGGCCACGGGCCCGTTGTCCTGTCAGTTTGGATCGGGAATATACAATGCTAGGGGGCGCTAACCGATCGTTCTTGCGGAACTTACTCGTTCCGTTGTGCCTTGCGTGCTCTCTCTCTCGAGCCAGACCAGCAGCCGCACGGCGACGCATGAGATAGGCAGTATGTTATTACCGACGGGCCCGTGGCCCAATGGTTAGAGGCGTTGGACTTCAAACAGATCGCGAGCTCGATCCTCAGGTGTTCCACACCTCGGGGTTGGGTACGACTAGCTGACGACGGCTAACAAGTCAGAATTGACCATCCCATTCCGTCCGTCCGCCAGCTTGCTATTGGCGACAACAAACACTGTGCCATAGGACACATTCCACACATATTACGCAGGCAGCTCATCAAGTGTGCTGCAGGCCAGATACAGACAGCTGTTTCACGGTCGGTACCGATCATCAGTACGCCACGGGCCTTATGAAGTGAGGTATATAAACATGTGGAGAAGGCGCGTCACCCACACCAATGTAGTTAGGATCGCGCTCATCATTCCCCGACGAAGACAAAAAAGAAGGGATGAGATCATGGACCAGATTTTATTCGTATTTACGTTTCGAAAACTTCCTCATTTTCATCATCAGCAGAGTGCAGCTACTCTTCCTGCTGGCCTTGATTTATTCAGCCCCACATTATGAAACTTTGCCTAAGAATTTGTGAACCATGTCGATGTAGACATAGATGTGTTGTGAATTTGCGAATGTAGGTTATAGACGGCACGCCTTGGGGCCCATATAAACGCCACGCTAACCTGAGCCAGGTATTCGGAACTTCTGGAATTATGCGTGCGTAAATGTAGACGACCGCCACATAAGTAAAAGGTTGATAAAATAGAGATGAAACATCTAGTCAAAGTAAGCTATGGACTAAATTAACTGGAATCTACCACACTAAAGTGTGAAACAAGAATCACAGCTTGTAGAAATCATAATCTTTAACAAATCCGGCATGAATAGTTGTGATGTGAGCTTACTGGAAATGCAAAATTTAGCATACTTACTTGGTCAAGACATGGTGAGATACAGGGGGTTGTGGGTTCACAGGTGAGCTCGACAGAAGCAGAAGCCATGGCAGGTTCAAAGTACGCCGCGTTCGAAAGTCTGCGATCACAGTGTGTTGTAAGATCAAATAGCCTGCCTTAACGAAACCTGCATTATCTAAGGTGTTGGCCTGCGGCAGGGGGGCGTGAAAAAGTGCGTCGATTCTGGTAACAAGCTGACGACATCGGTGTGGACTGCACTCAAGTCGTTTTAAGAGAGCGAGAGGTTGGTAGAGAGAGAGAGAGGCGACTCGAGTCTGCAGTAAATGGCGGAGGCAGCACGATTATTCAGTGATCTCATGATGCCAGCATACTAGTGACTCGGACCAAGTCAGTCTCCAATCAAAGGGAAAAGTGTGAAGATATGAGCACCCAACTGCAGGATTGAGATATGAGGAGTGAGATTAAAGTGACTTACTAGAAAATTACAGAATGTCCATCCGGTTCTAATGGGACATTTTTTCTGCGTTGAACTATGACCTTACACAGCGGGTTCGGGGTAGCTCAAAGCAAGAAACACGGAAAAGGACTTGTTTACGGTCATCAGTCAGTCCTAGACCTCGATGACCGTAGAGAGTAGAGCTTAGGAGGACACCGTAATTTCCAGGTGAAACGAAATCCACCGACATACTGGCTGAATTACCGATGCTAATGCCTGACCTAAGGTCATCTGAAAATTACGCTCTCAGACGACCTTTCAGTATTATTGCTTGATCAATTACCGCTCGTCACATCCAATGAGAGATGTTAGTGTGACAGGGAAAAGAGGTATTGTAGAGATTTTCGGCAAGATTTTAGGGAATAAAGACGAGTCAGCGAATTCGCCGGCAGCAGTGAGAGACCAGCATCCGGGGCACTACACTAGGCAGTCATAAAGTTATCGCCTCCGACGACTTATGTGATGGGAAGTTACATTGCAAAATAGTTCGCCGGGCAATCAGTGTCTAGGACAATAACTGGACGTAGTGGCCGAGTTCTCCATTGCCTATCATGACCACAACCAGGGGGCAAGGCGCAGTAAGGCTCAGCCCTTCCTGACATCAGCATAAAGGTCCGCAATGGGCGGGGGGAAACAGTGCAGAAGTGGGGCTTTTGTCTGGTGTTCTCCTGACGCTATTGGACGTATAGACTTTCGCAATGGTAGAAAGTAATGAAGAAATAATCAAAGACTGCACATGATAGGCTGGCAGCAAATTCATGCTATCCTGCATTAACTGTTCGGAAGTACTCAGGGTGACTTTCAGGAAGCGCTAGACACACTTCCACTGTCGACTAGCAGGAGAAAAACCCACACCTTCAGAAGTGACGCAGAAATAAAGTGGTCCAGCTTTGTAAGGCAACGGGCTTGGGCAACACAAAAGATAAATCCCTCTACCAGTAAATTTGAGAAAGCTGCAGCGCGGAGACCGGAGAGAGAGGGAGAGGGAAAGTAACAGAACGTGAGTAAGATACATCAGGTACACTTACTGCTTTGTTTTAAAAGAAATTTCCAGACACTTACGCAAACCGCTTCTGTGAATCTAGGTAGGGCAGTGTTGGTTAGATAGACATCCTACAGCTGATTGTGAAATGAGGGCACGGATGGATGGGAAGTCATAAGACATAGATTCGCATGCGAGAGTGAATGCTTGGCCGACAACGTCAGTCCTCGACAAAACTGCATTCAATCATTAGTTTTCCTCAACAAAGCGATAGATGCGAATCATACTACAGCATCCTACGGCCATGAGAGCCACAAGTTAGAGTAAAACCCCCTCGACCTGTGGAGAATCTATGCCTAGGGTTCAGCGTATAACGAGGAAATCGCCGTTAAAAAAACTTGCGCGCCAGTGCGGTTAAGAGATTTAAGAAAAACGTAACCCGGTTCTCAGATAATATTCTCGACCCAACTCGATACCGGCAACAGGAACTTCTTCAATGTCCGTAATGTCAGTGTCGGCATATTCAGAGCCAAGGATGTGACTATTTTGCAGCTAACTATCTATAAACCGTCAATGAGTCGGGCAGTTATCAGCTAAGCAAACAGGCAGCCCCCGTCTCCGTCCTGGTCGGCAAATGCGTCGAGGAAACTCAGTCAGTCCTTCAGCATGTACACTTTGAGGACATGCAAAGGGTCAAAGTGGAAATCGTCCCCAATACTTCAGGACACGCAGGTGGAGGCGCAGTCCTTTTATTCATTTATCTTTAACCACTCCGAATGACGTTATAAAGAGGAGAAAAGGCCCACATGGAACTTCCATGCAACATAATGCGATGGTGGTTACTAGAAGTACAGGTACTAGGCACTTGAACGAGGTCAAATAAAGTAACAAAATCAAGAGTATCAAAACACACCATCTAGGAGAAGAAGTTCCTCGCGCCAGTTAAGATTTCGAGAAGCAGCTGCCAGAGAGAGGAGAGCGTGACGACCGGCTGCGGTTAGTCTTACTGGACCGGAAGCAGCGCCCTCTGTAGGTCTGCTGGTAGAGGCTTCATTCCTCTCCTCGTTCTCTCCGGGTATCGTTGTTGAGGTCGTCCTCCCGCGGCGGGCACGCCTATGCCGAGGTGGTGGACCGGAGTGACGAGGATGTGGTCTTGAGGCGCCGGCTGGGTCAACAAGCAGCCAAGAGTCCGCAAGCGACTGAGACCGAGCAGTCCGCCGCGAGCCGCTTTCGAAATCATGACCACTTGACGAGGAGGATCGGTAGTTTTGAATGAGGCGTAGGAGTTGGGCGTCTTCAGTAGACAGTCCACTGTTTTCTAATTCTGCAATTAGACGATTCAGCGCCATGACTGAGGCTTCATTTTGGCGAGCTACGTCTGCTTGAGCAGAACGGCGACGTTCAGAGGAGTTTCGTGGGTGTCGTGCTGCAGACTCGCTTGAGATCGGCATGTGAGAAAGACTCCGGATACGTGGATCGGATGTGTGAGCATGACTTTCGGCTTCCGAATTATGATGTGGTGTAAGACCAGTGGGTTCTTGGCGTGAGGAGAAGCTAAGTCGAGAGCCCATGATTCCACAGTGATAAGTGTTTTAGCAGGAAACAGTGAAAGCTGTCGCACTTATCAAAAGTGTGCAACCTGATAGGCAAAAACAAGATCATTCCTTTCGCTTGGTTCACGTTTCAGTCGCTGCCACCACACGGACATCTAAAAACCATAGAGAAATACAAGTCACGAAGACGACGGATTTATTTTTACAGTTCATGATGCCGTATTGACGGCTCACAAAGGCGTGAAAGATGAGTGTGCGCTAAACCGACTCATAGATGTACCCAAAACCGGCCGTAGACGACTTGAATGTCGAGGTGTCAGTGACAAGGCAAGTGAGAGTGGAAACATTCGTGGGTATATTTTCGTTGTCAGCCATTAACAGCCTCGAGGCCAACCCGGGCAGACGCGAGGTTTGAATAGTGTCTGCGAGAACTACGCGCTAGGAAACTCTGGTGCAGTAATGCGGGAGAATAATAATGTGGACCGGGCTACTCAACTGGGAGTGGAACACTGATACTACATGTAGATGTTCCTGGAGTCTGGTAACCAAGGCCATAGAGACTCAATCCATACCGTGGATGCCTGTTGCCTTTCGAAAGTCAGAATTGTTGACTTGCGCTCTCAGGGAATCGAGATCGTGGAGTTAAATCTCACCGTACCATCTATCACATCCATCCACGTGACTCTACTGGTAGATAAAGGGTAACAGTCGACCTCTTCGAACAGGCGGACCGTGAGCCTGCGTTGGAATCAGTCAGAACGGTTAGCATACGTAGGAATGACGGAGCAGTCTGGTAATGTCTTTGTAGTTTCTGTATACATATCAACATTAACTGCTGATCAGCGCAACAAATAGACCTATTCGCAGTTACAGGGACTGAGTGCAACAGGCTGCATCGCTGTGATCTGGTGACAGTTGCCTGTGACTAGAATGGCCAGGACGATCAGGTGACTCCTCAAACATCAACCTTGCAAACGGTTTTGGACTTTGTCCTCGAAGTAATGATTGAAATTTTGAGCTTCACTCGTTAGAATCATCTGTTCGTCACCAGACTATACCTTGAGCACCACCGCCACACTTTCTGCCCTGGTGTTACGGCGGTTATTGTAAGACCAGCAAGACTGGCTATATTCTAGTCAGTCGAATGGCTTCGCAGCTGGGTGAATTATAGCGTATCGATGTGTAGTGTTCGAAGTGGTAAAGCCTATGGATCAGATCGTGTTCCCATTTACCTTAAATTAATGGCTAAAATACTAGGTATAGGACGCCTTGATGTTGTAGAAATATAACCCGGCACAGCCGAGGTTCTGAGCACAGAAATTTAATCCTATTTTGTAATTAAAGTTGAAGGATAAGGTAATGGTAAATGGTAATCATTAAAATCGTCAGTCCATGAGACTGTAGGGAAATTTGCGGGCTCGCCAAACAGCGTCGCAGTGATTGGAGCAGCTGAAGGACCTCACAGATGTCTGTCCTGATAGTTCGGGCCAGGTCATGCAACGACGATTCTGTCCATCAAACCCAAAAGGACCACAACACCTAATTGACCACAGCGGTGACCTTAGACGATCTCAACGCGTGTGATTCAAGGAAGGGACTCAACCAAATGAGGTTGATAGCTGGGCTTGGCTGCATCAACCAAAGACATACAGTGAGGCGTATTGTCGAACCCCGTCACGGTCAACATCAACCAAAGGCATTCTATTTTGTTGTCTCTGCTGTTACGTCCGATCCCGTTAGTCGTGAGTCCCCTTTGTAGGTAACTGATCTGGACAGCATGTCACTACTAATGGCCGTTATGACCAAGGGTTGTAATTTCGAGTGTCAGACAACGCAATGCAAAGGTATTCTGATCCCATCAGGAAGCCGGCTTTTAAGTGCACGTCTTTCCGATCGCGCATAAAAATCACGCCCGCTAAAGTGACTGCTAAAGCAGTAGGAGTTCCCAATTTGTTTTCGGGGTCCTTATAAATAAGAATATATTTCATGAAGGCGTGTACAAAAAATCACTTCCAACTTAAAAATTTACATTCCCCGATAATTTTTGACCCGAAGTACCGTTTTACTTGCGTTTGGTTTTCAAACTGCAAGTTGCACACTTTTTATTTGATAAGAACCATGCATTCCTCTATGCTGTTGATAAGGAGTCGCGGCTTATAAAACTGCGTAATGGATATGGGCCACGCTGTATATTCCGTAAGGAGCACAGTTATTTAACCAGGCAATTCACGGTCATAAAAGCCCCATAACTGCAGATTTTTTTGATCGAAAAATGCCCTTTTTCAAGTAGAACATTAGGCTAAGACGTAAAGCGCAAAACTAGTACAAAAAGGATGTTTTCGCGCATGTGCTCTACAAAATCTGTTTGGATTTACAATGGTAGGGGGCGCTCACCGATCAGTCTTACGGAACTAACTCGTTTCGTTGTGCCGTATGGGCTCTCTTGAGTCCAACCAGCAGCCGCACAGCGGCGCATGATACATAGGCAGTATGTTATTATTGACAAAAGCAAGGGGTTTAGATTTTATAAGGGCATCGAAAGTTAATGGAAATTCACATGATTTAAGCAGCCATCTGTAGCAAGCGTGATTTTCGCAGGCGGTTACAGAGATGTGCATTCAAAAGTCTGCATTCTGGTATGGCCAAAATACCTAAGGATTATGCTGCATGGCACCGAATATTACAACGCCACCTAAGTAATCCTTACCAATCGAAATCACACTATCGGGTCTCGATTAATGTTTCATTAAATATGTCAACTACGGTAAAGACTATTTATGGAGCTTCAGTATTCAGTCTGCGTCGTTGCAGAACACAGCAGGTTGAGATCACAAAATCTGTTATCCCAGATGGCAACAAGTGAATAAGTACAATCCTGACATCACGGAGGCTGTCAAGATTAGAAATGATTGGAACGGTGGTAAATGTAAATGCACTACGATAAAGGGGTTCCAGACGCACAGGAGACTCACACATCCCGGTGAAACTGTTGCTTATAAAAAGGCATAATGTGTTCGTTAGCAGAACTGAGGAGAATCGACGAGAATATTGACTCATCGCAAGTATAGTTTTTAGTCATGTAGGGGCAATTTTAAGACCTGCGTCCAGCTTTACAGTTCACTGATTATTAAGTACCAATCAGGAGTCAGCATCGTCCACTGCGACGAAGTTGCTGAGATTAGATAGAGGACGAACGTTTAATCAAGCATCTTTGTAGGGACAGTCTTTAGAAGCTACCCCAGTGATTCGAATCTCAAATCTTAGTAGAGACTGACGTATCTTAAGTCCATGCGGTATGCATGTGCCTAGTAAAAATGTCAAGGCAAACAAAAATCCCAGAAACTACGGATTAAGTAGTCATCTCTCACCGTACTTTAGGATGGGGTGAATCCCCGAAATGTGGAAGGAAGAAATAGCCAGCCAATTAACAGCGGATGAGTTTGCAGAATATGGACCGACGCACATAAGCAACAAACCTATTGGCACAATAACGTTATAGTGTCACAGGTAGTTAGACCTTCGGTTCTTGGGAGCTACACTCCAAAGGAAATGGTGGCTTCTACGGTTGTTAAATTTTAAAGATAACATAGTCAAACGGGTTCCAATAAAAAGTCACATCACTTAATCATAATATTAACTCCGCAGTAGAAACGGCATGTTAGTACAGTAATGAGGCACTACGATACAACCAATAAGGCTGAGTGACAAGATGCGAACCAAAGCTTCAATGGTGTGTAATAACGTCACTTCTTCCGAGCTGTTAGCAAAAACAATAAGCTCATTTTAATAGATAGGCTACCAAAACAGGAGTTGTTATGTCTGGGCTCACGGAAAGGAAGGGCAAACGAAGGCAGAAGGGCTTCGATTGATATAGTGGCCAGGCCAAAAGCGCATGGGCCAGTTAGTTGAGCACTTACATACAGTCCGCGAAAGTTAGTACTGAAGGACCTCGTTCCAACCACAACGTTAAATGGCGTATGCAAAAGACCAATAACGAACGAAACGTAAGCAAGGCGAAAATGTTAAAACTGATTGAAGACCAATAAACATAGTTAGAATTCTTTAGCAATTCGTTAACAAAGTAAACAGCCGTGAAAAATTTCAAAGGAATAGGCTTCACACTACGTTCATTATCTACAAAACTTATAGTATCCACATAACCTAGTCCACAAAGCAACTACCACAGGTCCTAATGCAAACCAAGAAGAACAGTGCGGGAGCGTACAAGCTTGAGCTCAGATTATCAAGAGGTCAGAGGTCAAGGAAGGTAAAATTAGGGATTCCGGATGTTAACGTGCATGCTGTGCAGTGTAATACATTTATCCAGGAATCAGTGAGGATGTCCAACCCACTCAAGCATTGGAATGGTTAGCGGATGCTGAATGCCTCTAACCACTATCGCCTGCATTAGAGGCGCATCCGGTGAACATACACATCGAGTTTAACAAAATCAAGCCTAAATCAGAAAAGCTCCCACAAATTTTGAGTGCTGAATCCACTGATCGATTGTACCGTAGCGATAGCGTTTGTGGTCTCCGAACACTATAGCCGGTCTCACCAGCTGTTCCCCAACGCCTCTATTTTGACTGTCCCCAACTTCATGAAAGGAATTGACGTCCGATAATCTCCGATACCGTGCAACCCCCTCCCCCCTTCTTGACGGTCGAAAGTCTACCACCAGCAGTTTTTTTCTTCTGAACTCTCCAAACCATAAAAACCACCATCAACTATATTTTTATTCCTTTACCTCAGGAGTTTTTTTCATTGCTTGTCGGATTTGTGTTTAATCGCTTCCCTTGACAACGCCTGTAAACTGGCATTAAATGAATAATAATCAAAATAATTATTATTATTAAGACAACAAGGGTGGGGCCCGAACTACGTCGAACCTACATGTGTTGTAAAATAAAGGAAACCAAGACTAAGAATGCAACATTTAAGTTCCTGGATGATAACAACTTGATCACTGGGGTCCAGCACGGCTTAGACAAAACTGCTCTTGATATTCTGGTTCAAAG